TAAAAGCATTTACTTGGAATCAGTTTTTTATATATATATATATATATATATATAAGAAAAATACATATCTATATTTTTTTTCTTACTACTATAAATGCTATTTTTAGTAGGTACATATGTGTGTTGCTATTCTGTTTTTCTATTTTCTTAAAGTGAAAATAACAACAGGCCAAGATCAAGAAGTCCTACTGGGCGAGTTGTTATAAATTCTACTCTGTAAGCAAACAGATGATAAAAGGATAGTAACTCAAATGTGTACCCACTAAAAATAACATTTTTATATATATATATATATATATATATATATATATATAAAACACACAAAATTTTTATATATATATATTAATATGTTATATATACACGATACTTATTGGAAAGCGCTCAATGATAGCGCTAACATATTTAGTTGGATTGATGTGAGTTTGTGACCCTGGGTTTCACACTCTTTGCAATTGTCTGATAAACTGATTAATTTTTAAATTTTGGATTTATTTATGGTTGCATATATCAGTGTTTTACGTATGAGTGGCATTCCGATGATAATTTTTCCTCCTACTATCATAAAACACTGATATAGGCAACCATAAATAAATCCAAAATTTAAAAATTAATCAGTTTGTCTGATGATCACAAAGAGTGTGAAACCCAGGGTCACAAAATCTCATCAATCTAACTAAAATATATATCCTTCACTTCTCTCATAAATAACATTCTACCCACTTTTACTCAGAACATAGTCGCATGAATTCAACTTACTAAATAAAATTATTTTTTTCCCATTATTGATTTTTTTTTTTTTTTTTTTTCCTCTCTTTTCATTTTCTGATGTAAAGCAAACATCAAATGAAAGATAGACACATAAAAAAAAAAAGAGAAAATTAATAATGCTTCGTCTAATAAATTCAGCTTTAGGATTGTCCCATGGGATAATAGCTCAGAGAATTAATGCATTAGCTTGTGAATTTGACAGCATAATAATAGTGAGTTCAATCCCTAGGCCATATAGGATAGACTTAGACATGATGAAAATAGGGCTAGCAATAACTGAGCAGTATTAAAGATTATGTGAACATTGTTCGAAATCAATAATTCAAAAAACATTTATTCGAATTACAAATTGTTTGAATGAAAATTAATCAAAAGGACAATTCTACTAAATAATAATTATTCAAAATACAGAATTGCAATAAAAATATAAAAATTAAAAGTGAAAATACACAAATGATAATTATTTGAAATACAAATATCATTAACAAGATAATTTAGTAAGAATAAATCCTTATAATCTTAAGTTATATGATACAGCATGCAAATAGTTGAAGAGAACTCATTAAAGGATGCTACTAATATTTTAAGTTTTCCATTTACGTTGCAGTATTTCTTGGCAATTTTGATATTTTAGCAACCTGCACTTTTGCAATATGAATTTCTTGCAGGTCCTGTTCTTTTAAGAGCATCTAAGAATTTCCATATTGTAGGATGATGGGATGACACTTGCTGAAAAAAACCCTATGCCATCCTTCAAGGGCATTATTAGTTCTAGATAAGTCAGCATTGACTCTCTCAAAGCAAGAGCACATACATATTTCAAACAATTATTTCGTATAATCGTCCTTTTGATTAATCGACATTCAAACAATTTACAATCTGAATAAATGTTTTTCAAATAATTATTTTCGATACAGTATTAAAAATGACAAGACATGTACATTAAAACAATCTATCCCCATAGATTAAATAAAGAGTAGTTCAAAATTCTCTGATGGTTACCTAGGTTGACAGACAGCTGAATAACTGGATATTAATTCAAATGTGAATAATGTAAACTCCTCATCCCCAAATTCAGAAAACTTATAACTATTTATGTTTGTTTTTTAATTGTTTTTTTTTTATTACTTTTGTTCACTCAAAAGTAGGCGCAACAACCACTCAAGTTAGAGGGTTAGTGAATGAGGCTATTGAAAAGTAGATAAGAATTGACCCAAGACTTGAAATGGTTAAGATTGTAGTGATTCCTCTTGGGAATTTGTTTCACAATGTAGCAGTTCTTGGAACAAAAATGTCCTAATGGAACTACCTTCTTGCCAATGGAATACAAAGTGGTGAAGATTTGAGACTGTATATGTAGCATGACAGGTCAGCTGTAAAAGTTTAAAAAAGGTGAAACTAAAGAATATAGCTCATTAGAACATTTGCCAGGGAAATACAGGGTGTGATGGGTAAATTGTCGCCATTTTATATTTTTAATTTTGCACGTGAGCAGTTGTTCTGATTTTGCCAACTGCACAGTATAGTAGCGTCAGTTGCGTACCCTCTGTGAGAAAAAGAGCACCATGATGGAATTCACTCCACCAGAAATATGGAAAACGGTATGCTGTACTGTTTGGCATTCATGATGGAAGCCCCAATACAAACATTTCAGAGTGTTTGGGTGTCAAACTGAGGATAGTGCAGAGGATTTGGAAAAAGTTGGATGAGTCTAATGCTGATTATGAAGTTGTTTGTAGTGATCACTATGTTTGGCCAAAGGACTCTGCACCATGCCACACAAGCAGCAGAACCCAGTCATTGCTGTCAGACAATTTCTGCAACCATATCACCTGTTTCATCTGGTCACCTAACTTCTTCCTTGATTATTATGTGTTGGGTGCAGTTGGGTGAGTAACCAACAAAACTCCTTGTAATACCAAAGATGGACTGAAGGCAAGGATCTTGGCAGCATTCACCAACTTAGAAAAGGAAAATGCCCATAAGAGTTGCAGGAGAGTGAATATTGAATAAATTTCCTCTTTAGATATTTTTGTGTAATTTTGGTAAATGTATCTGTTAAAATGAGTTGTCAGTGTTATTTTCATTTTTGCATAATTTAGATGACAATTTATCCATCACTCTCTGTAGATGCTACATTATATAACAAAAAATTCAGGTTTAATTTTATTAAGTATTTTTTTTCTCGTTATTGTCCTTCCAGTTAGATGAATTCAGTTGTCACTAAAGTGTCAATTAGGACATATGCCTCCTCCTCACAACTAACTTCTTTACATGTAGTACCATGAACCAAATTTTAAGTCAATGTTACTGTTGTAGAAATGGACATTTGATATAAAAAAAGGATAAACATTTTAGTTTCTCACTGGGTGCTCTATAAATTTGACCTTGTGCAAAAATCAATTTTCTTAATATCTATAAACTAAATGCATATCTTTCCTTGGCCAAGGAAAAATTAGCTTAAATGATCATATTATAATTTTGTTTGTTGCTTAGGTAGCTAGCATATCCATTACGCCCTACCAATACCTCGTTAATAATGGACTATTCTGTTTTAATTGTGGGGAAAGACGGAAAAGACATATCAGAGACAGTTTGGTTTCAGTAAAAAAAAAAAAATATGATGAAAGAAAGAAGATAGAGTAGGCAATAATTCTCTCATGTTTTTAATGTCTGCTTAGTGAAATGGAAAAACTTATCAATTTTTAAATCTTTTCATTTGTACCCTCTTAATTCTTTAAATAATGACCTGCATTTATATTTATGATTGTTATTGAAATATTTACTTAAAGTTGTTAAGCTCAAATATTTAACAGTCCAATGAGGAAATTTCCACAGGTATTTTACAGTTGTGGATCTTGCAAGGAGCTTATTCACTCATTAAGGATTGAAATTCATCAGAAAATTTAAATAGTAAAACTGAAATTTTTGCAGGTGCTATTAATTTGAACAAATATGAATAAATATATATATATATATATATATATATATATATATATATATATATATATATAAAATAAAATTAAAACTTATTTTCTTTTGCATTTTATAGGCTTCCTGCTTGAGTTTGACATCGATCCCTGACTTCGTCTGGTTCTGCTGAAGTTGCCTAGCATGTCTGAGGTGCCCCGATTCCAAGACGGAAGGATAGCTTACCCATACCCAAAGTGCCTCCTTTGCCCCCGGTGCCAAACCGAAAAAACTACTTACCCACACGACCACGTCCATGGTCAGTCATCCAGCTGACAACTACCGCCACCACCATCACCATTGCTGCCACCACTGCCGCTGCTGCCATCACGACTACCACCAGCACTGCCACGAACACTGTCACGACAGACAGTGCGCAATCTTCGTCACCGAGGAGCATGTCAGCAACAAGTCGGGTGTCGTCGTCACCTGAACCCAAGTTAAGTGCTGATATTCCAGAAACGACGTTTGAAGCCCCAAATCACTATCATGAGAGCTTCAAGGCCCTTTGGGAGTTTTACAACAAACAACAGCTTTGTGACTTAGAAATTAGAGTTGGAAAGAAATCCATACGTTGTCACAGAGTTGTTCTTGCTTGTGTCAGTAACTATTTTAAAGGGATGTTCACGTCAGATATGTCTGAGAGTAAGCAGGGACTCGTCACAATACATGACATTGACGAACAGTCTTTGCACTCCCTCGTGACGTTTGCTTACACATCAACGATTTCTTTGAATGTGGACAATGTCCAGCATTTGCTCTATGCATCGTCCATTTTGCAAATGGAGACAGTAGCGCAAGCCTGCTGCAATTTTATGCAAAACCATTTGCACCCAACGAACTGTGTTGGTGTACGTAATTTTGCTGAACAACATGGCCGAACAGAACTCGTCAAGGTTACCGATGAATACATCCTTGAACATTTTCTTGACGTTGTAGAGCATGAGGAATTTGCCAACATGCCCTACAAAGTATTTGATGGGATCGTGAGCTCTCCTAATCTTAATGTCACTTCCGAAGTTCAGGTTTATGAAGGTGTAATGAAATGGGTCAAGCAGGACTTGTTTAAGAGGAGAGGTTATTTGCCGAAGTTGTTATCGAATATCAAACTTCCTTTAATGCCCTTATCCTACCTCATGGACTGTGTTGAAACAGAAGAACTCTTGAAGAAGAGCTTTGAGTGCCGGGATCTCTTGGATGAAGCTAAACATTACCAAATGTCTCTGACCAATTTAGTATTGGAGGTTAAAGTTACCGAGCGAATGAAACCAAGAAAAAGCTATGCAGGTGAGTCAGAGAAACCTCTTTGATTGTTTTTGTTTTTTTTTTATTTATTCTTGTTGCAGATAACCATAAACTAATATCTCCATTTTTACATTTCCTCTGTGAATAAGACTTTATGAAAACAAGAGCCAAAATAACAATTTTTTTTTTCTTTGTAAATAAAATTCCTATTGCTTATCTCTCCCTGGATTTTCCCACTTAAATTTAAATGTCCTTACAAGAAAGCAAATTGCTGCTTTATTGGCATGCACAAAAGAAAGCAGTTTCTGTCAGTCACACTTTGTTTGATTTTGAGTTCAAGGGCATTTGCTTATAACAGTACTGTCTTTCATTTTCTTTGTCCTAATTGTTGCATAAACTAAAGAGTAATGAGTAATTGAATAACAAAATAGAGGGAAAAAACTACACATTGCATTTTGTCTCTAGAAGTCTCTTTATGTCTTATCTTCAGATTAATAATGGCTACATCTTTATCTCTGTGTGTGCATGTGGAAAATACAAGAAATTCTGGTTACAATTTTACATTGAAAGCAAAAGACATTGGCTTTAAATCTTTAAACTTTGACTGCCTGTTGAATGCATAACCTGGAGAGCCACGTTCAGCTCTCTATTGTTTCGTTTTCAAGATAAGTGTCCCTGTATCTTTAGCATTTTCATGGTAAAATTGTAACCATCTTTTGCTGTATCTTTTCCCTCACCTATATATATATATATATATATATATATATATATATATATATATATATATATATATATATATAATGCATCACTCTTTGTAAGAATTTAGCACTATGGCGGCCAGTATGGCGTTTATATATCACGTATATAATGTGTTAAAAAATTCCCTTTCTTTGTTGTGCACCAATAACTGAGGGGTAAGAGTCTCTGACTGATGTTAAATTGTGTGAGTTTCGATCTTGGCTTGAAGCAATTGAGTGTCTAGCTACACTGATGAGATGTGATACAGCGAAACAGGCTGCCTGTGCATGACTATACACACACACACACACACACACATATATATATATATATATATATACACACACACACACACATACAAGGGTCGGCTGGAATGTTCATAGGCTGTCCGAGGTATAAATGGAAGTAGCCATACCAGTTGATAGACTAAAAGACATGCAAGTGTACCAGAATACAACAGCTTAATCTAACATTTTTATTACTTCAATCATTTTATAGTGGATAATTTATATTTGAAATAGAAGCCTTGTTTTTATTTATTAAACAGTGTACATTTAATAGATTTCTGTTTAATAAATAAAAATGTTGCATCTGTTTCAAATACACAATATCCACTATAATGTTTGAAGTAATGAAAATATCAGATTAAAAATAAATACAAATAAATTGCTTTGTTTAATATGAAATTGAGCAGATATGACCATTATGAGAGAATAATTTCAGTGAAGAGGATGTTTTTTCCTTAAAAAGGAAAAACACAACCTTGCTTGCTGTGACATCCTTCATGGCTGAACAGTAAAGCACACTGGCTCAAACAGTGGTTTCCTCTAAAATGGGGGATGCAGGTTCTATTGTTTCTTTGCTGTCTATAGAAAATTTTCAAAAATGTAAAAAGAAGTGATGTTTCATAAATTGTATTTTTAAATAAAATTGTTTATTACCACCATTGTTAGCTGCCTAAGAGACATCTTTTGGGTGTTGAAACAAATATGCATTTTTGTTGCAGTAACTTGCATGTTCCAATGCAACAGTTTATAATATATATATATATATATATATACACACACACACACTTATAGTTAGTTAATGCAAATATGAAAATGTTTAATAATGTGTACATGCCAAGAACTATCTATTGGCAAATATGGCACCTGGATAAGGTTCAAATCCAGGTCCATAAGATTGGTTCAACGTGATGTTTGTGTAGACGTTCTTCTCATGTTTATTTCCTGGAATGTGAAAATTATATGTCAGCCCATTTCAGAAAATAAACATGGCAAGAATGTCTACACAAATGTCATTGAACCAATCTTCAGAAATGCTAGCATACAGATTGACTATTCTGGATTCAGTTCAAAATTCAAACAAATATCACCTGAAGAAGGCCAAAGCGTACAATGGCAGAAATGTTATGATTGTGACAGTAAAAATGAAGATAACAGGCCGAATGTAATTAGTGTAAATAGTTATGTCTGTCAAATTAAATATTTGGAAATGGCAAATAAATGAGCAGCAACCATTGTTGATTTTAATAATTTATTGTATTTTCTAATAATGTTTGTCCTATTAAATCTTAATCCCTCAATTAAAGAGCTTTTGGTAATTTACTTGAAGCAGTGCCTTTCCCCATTCAGTCCTTGTTACCAATGCCATATTCTCTAAAATTATCCTTTTTTTTTCTCTCACTTCCCCATCCTCTGGTCTCAGCTTGAGCTAAAAGCTAAATACTAATTTAATTAAGCTCCTTTTGTCTACAAAAGAACCATGTTTGTTCTGGTAGTTTTATATTTCTGTAAATTGAATTGTAATATAGAATCTTCTATGGAGAAATAGTTGAATAAAAAAAGTAGATAAAAAAAAAATTAAAATGAATTAAGAATTGTACATGGATGGATATACTTTTTATGCAAGTCTATTTAATAAATGCTTCTTCTCTCACACTTCTTGCTTGTGGAATTCTCTTCTGGTCTCTTACTTTCAAGTCAACTTTGATCTTCAAAAATTTAAATGCAGTGTCAATCATTATTTTCTGTCTTAAGTCCTGTTCTTTTTTTTATTCTCTCTTTTCTTAATAATGTTTTCATTTTCTCATATCTCTCACACTCCAAAACCTTTTACATCTTAGTGACTTCATTGCCTTATTTGGGGTGAGATGATTAAAAAAAAGAAAAAAGAGACCTGTCTGTCAAATGTAGCATGCTTGCAATGAGATAATTTGTCAAGAAATCTGATGACTACAGAGAGTAGTATAGTGGATTCATGCATTTCCTAAAGTCTTTAGTGTAAACATCTGCTAAGGAAATTGGTTCTTGTGTTAGACAATTTTTCTCACCAGAATTTATCTTAGAAATTTATAAGTCTACCATTCATTCATGCATTAAATAATGCTTCTGCATCTGGTCTGGTGCTTCTGCTTATGTATTTAGAGATTCTTGATGAAATACAAAAAAAGAATCTCCAATATTATTGATCTTGGTCTCTTGGCTTCAGTCACTTTTCAATCACCATCATAATGTAGTTGCTCTGTGCCTTTTCTATAAATATTTTCATGATAATTGTTCTGATGAGTTTTCCTACTTGGTACACAGACTTTATGAATTTAAAAGTACTATTAGATTGGCAGCAAAATCTCATCATTTTGAAGTTAAAATGTCTAGCTGTAACCATAAATTTCTTTTCTTGCACTTCTTGCATGCAGAACTCTCTTCCAGCTTCTTGCTTTCCAGCCAACTTTGATCTTCAAAAATTTAGATGCAATGTTAATTTTCAATTCCTGTTTTTTTTTGTTTTTTTTTTTATTATTGTTCTCTCTGCTTAATAATGTTTTCTTTTTCTTATGTTCTCTTACACTCAGTAACTCCTTGCATGTTAGTGGCTTTATTGAAATGATTAAAAACAAAAAAGATGTTCTCTTGTTTAATTTTTATCACACACACACACACAGGTATATACACTGTTTGACACACACATACACATACATATATACTTTTTGATCCAAATAATATTCTTGCTGGAAAATCCTCTTTTGCTGCTAGTCTTTTTTTCTGTTTAGCCAACCAGTTCTGTAACCGAGGGTCATTGTGTTACCATGCTGGATTTTTGTTCCTCATGTCATCTCAAGAGAAAAAATTATTTGGTTCTTGTCCATCTCATTTTCAAATACAATATATCCTACAAGGTAACATACAAGCTGCAGAGAAGAATTCTTGAATTGACAGTTTTATTTTTTAATTTTTTTTTTGTCTGTCATAAATGAAAATAACATTTGTTAAAAAGAAATATTTAATTTGAAAATCTAATCACCTCTGACTTTGTGATAGAACTGACTTTGCAGTATATATCTACAAAATTTGAAAATATATTTCTGTTTTACTTAATAGAAAAATCAACCTTTTTAAAATATGAATGATTTTTTTTTAAAATATTTTTAAAATATTCTGTGTGTGTACACAATATTTTATGAACTTGGTTTTAATTTTCTGAACAATATAATTGAGTTTATATATAAATTTTATAAAAATTTCTTTTAATCTTTGTCAGTGCTTTGATTACCCCCCCGTCACACCTCTTCATGTTTGCTTGAAATCTTTCTACAGTTAGCCAGGAAGTACATTCTTCAATTGAAAACTCCCTTCCCCCTCCCTCTATCTTTTACTGTTCATTACTCACTGCTCCCCACTGGTGTGGGGACTGGCTTAGCTGAATATAAATCTGCAGTGTTGACTAATTCAAGTGAGACAAAGATGAACATTTAATCTCCATCTTTGGACAACCTATAAAATATGATAATATATGAATTTACTTTCTTACTGCTTCAAAGAATTTCTTTTTCCACTGCCTCCCCCCACTTTAAAAAAAAAAAAAATACCTGAAAAGAAAATTGATTTCGTCTGACAAACCTAAGAGTTTCAAAAACAAAAAATGAAATGTATTTAAATAGCTTTTGGCAATGTAAATGTGAGTTATATTGTTTAGATTGTCTTTATAGCCACTCCATTTTTTTTTTATTATGGAAAAAATAAGCAGGTGATAGTGGAGGACTTCAGTCTATTCCCATAGAATAAAGCAAAGAAAGGATTGGTAAGCTTAGACCTTTGTGCCTAAAGAAGGAATCTACATCATAGCAGTGGGAAAGTGACTAAACTCAAAATGCCCAACCAAGACTGTTAACATTACAGATCTTACTTTGGATTTTGCCAAGAATCTCAAGATGTATAGTATAAGCAATAGACCAGTTATAGCAGCAATATTCAATGCACAGATGAATGATAGATTTATAAATATGCAATATGGATTCTGACAAG